ATAAGACTTTGATCTCCTCTTGAGTCTCTCTACAGTTTTTAAAGAACTGGAGCAATGGGCGAATCTGCAGAGCATCTTCAAATGCAAGTTCTTTAGGAAGCTTTCTCACAATCTTGTTAAAACATGCCAGCCGCTCTTCACTAATGGGATCCCTCAGATGTCTGGGTGAGATTGGGTAGGGAACCCTAGGAACATAGACTCGAGCTGGTGGAGTTTCAGTAGATTCGTCTGGACTAGTCTCAGCAGGTTGATCCGGAGTAGTCGGAGCGACCCCAGCGGATTGCTCTGGAATAGTCGGAGCGTCCCCAGCAGGTTGCTCTGTAGTAGTCGGAGCGACCCCAACAGGTTGCTCTGATTCTTTCTGCTTAGCTTTCTCTGCAGCAGTAAATCGCCTTGGTGTTGGATCATTCAGCTGTCTACCACCTCTCAATTCCACTGCATAACAATCCCTTGGATTTCTATCAGTTTTTCCAGGGAGCATCCTCTGCTGTCTCTTGACACTCTCTGCAGTCTGAGCGAGAGCAATGTCAATCTGGCGCATGTGACTGCTCACTGAGTCACATTTCGTGTTGAGCTCAGTGAACATGTTTTCCATCCTTGTGTTAATATCAGAAGTAGCCTGGTTTAATGCCTTGGCATGTATCTATTGACTCTGGAGCAGCTGCTGCATCATGTTCCCTAAGGCTTTGATCTCACTCTGTCCACCCCCTGAATTAGCTGGAGCATCTTGCGGGTTGCTCTGCTGATTCTGATGGTTCTGATTTTGGTTCTGGCTTTGAAATCGGTTCTGAGCTTGGTTGAAAACAAAAGTCTTGCCTTGGAAACTAGAAGGGAAACCTCTCTGCTGCGGAGCACCTTGCTGCTGATTTCGCTGCATCTGATCCCCAGAATTCTCTGTGTTGCTCCTCTGGTAAGAGAGCGGGTTAGGGTTGCTCTGGTAGTTGGGATTCTGATAATAGTTCCGGTTCTGCACATACCCTTGACCATTGATGTAAAGAACTTCCTGATGATCATCTCCCTTTGTTCCTCCCTCAGAAGCAAGATCATTCACTATTTGCTCTGGTGTAACCTCATCCATGTAACTCACCTGCCCCTCATTGCTCTTCAGGAGCAGATCAACCTTGGCAGTGAGCTCATCTTTCCACTGAGCATCGACACTGCTCACCTTCTTGGAGCGATCTGCTTCTGGATTTTTGTTTGCAGAACTAGCAGCCATGTTCTTTATCAGCTCGTAAGCACCCACGGTGGTCTGTGTCATGAAGTCTCCCCTGCTCGCAGCATTGAGAGCATTGCGGAACTCCCACTGAACACCATCATAGAATATACCCAGAACATGATCCTTCTCAAAACTGTGGTGTGGGCATTCCCTGAGAGAGTCATTAAATCGCTCCCATGCATCATTGAACGGCTCGTTCGCGTGCTGCTTGAATGAAGAGATCTTGTTCCTGAGGGTTGCTGTTTTAGACTTGGTGTAGAAGTGTCCCAAGAAGGCTGATCTGACCTGCTTCCATGTAGTGAGGGAGCCTGTAGGGAGCGACTTGAGCCATCTTGACGCCTTGTCCGCTAGAGAGAACAGAAAGAGCATACACTTGATGTAATCAGGAGGTACACCATTAGCACGTGTGAAGCTACAGATCTCTTCAAAAGCCTCAATGTGTTCCATAGGTATCTCAGCTGGAAGCCCATGGAACATCTTCCTCTGCACCAGATTGATCATAGCAGGCTTGATCTCGAAGTCTTGTCTGGCACAGGGTGGTGGAGAAATCGCGGAACGCGTAGCAGGGATGTTCCGCGGCAGATTTCGCTCACCGATTTGAGCAGCTTGCTCCTGCTGGTTGTGAGCAGCTTCTTGTGCGGCAATGGTCTGCTGCATCTGGAGCATTTGCTGTTGCATCAGAGCCAATGCTGCAGTGAGATCATTCTGGTCGCCGTGATCACCCATTGTGGCATGAGTCGGCCTCGGTTGTTGTCGGTTGGTTCTTTCTAATCTTGCTAACTCTTCGTTGGTGAGTGTGACTAATGGACTTAAGGTGTGGCTTCGAGTATTTCTACTGGTCATACACCTGAAACATCAGCTGAAAATCAAGAAAAAATAGAGCAAGTTAGATGTTTTAGAATAGAAAATTGTCAAAAAATAAAGGTAAAATTATTGGTCCCCGGCAACGGCGCCAAATTGATATTACGTGCGAACGCACACCAATTAACCTAATGTGCACACTACCACAATCGAATGGTATGTCGATGTAGCACTTTAGGATCGAATCCACAGAGACCAAATATTACACTTTATTTTTATAGGATCAAATTCAAGCTAAAACGATAAGTTTNGGCGCCAAATTGATATTACGTGCGAACGCACACCAATTAACCTAATGTGCACACTACCACAATCGAATGGTATGTCGATGTAGCACTTTAGGATCGAATCCACAGAGACCAAATATTACACTTTATTTTTATAGGATCAAATTCAAGCTAAAACGATAAGTTTTGTAAAGAAGCAAATCGTGAGAAACAAATAATTAAAATGGGTTTTACTTTCAGGATATAAGGATGTCAACCTAGGGTATCTCATTGGGTGTTAACCATGCTGAACCAAACAATTATTCAAGCTTTTTAAGTGCAGCCTAGAACTCAGATTTCTTAACTAGAACACCCTGCTCTCGCAGGTGTGCTCCTTTCGCAGAGGAGCAAAGGTACCTATGCTCTCGTGTGGACCAGTACTCAATAGCAAACATTAAGCACATACCTAATATGCTCACATCACACCCTGATATCTACTTTCGCTGACCAGGGATGTGATGCTTGCTCTCAACAGATCTAGCAACCTAATTCATGATTAATGATAAAAGATTAAACTTTGAATCAAATACTAAGTGGTCAAATCAGTATCAGCAGTAAGAACAGTGGAGAGCAAAGGCGAGAATGATACTTATCTATGTTTAGTTCAATGGATCAACACCCTAGAACCCTAGGTTAACAAATCGACTACTCAGCCATAACAACAGAGAACACAAAGTCAAGAGATGAAGAATACATGAATATTATTGCAGATAAATATAAATAGGGTTCAGAGGATTCTTCTCTAGAACAAGAGAGATGATTTTCTCCCTTTACAAGTATCAAAATCACAATATCCAAAAGTTCTAAGGTTTCTCCTCTCTCCAAAGAAGCGTTTTCTGTCTAGGAAAAATAGAATAGCATATGTCCCAAGGCCACAGGCGGCTGGGATAAGAAAATAGAAAGATTAGAGCAAATCCCGAAATTAATTAGAAGTTTCCATAATTTTCGGGAGTAAATCGGGGTTTGCTCCGCATGGGTGCTCCGCGATAGAAGGAGCAAGCAGAGGGTTGCTCCGCGATAGAAGGAGCAAGCAGGGGATTGCTCCGTTCGGGTGCCATGCGATGGAAAACTCTGGTTTTTGCATTCTTTCTTCCATATGCTCCTTCTGGTGCATTCCAACTCGTTCTGTACCTGAAATAACTCAAAACACACTAAGTATACTCCAAGAAAACACAAAAGTGATATGCAAAGTATGTGTGTAATATGTCAAAAACACAACATATCACAATGTCGAGAGCCTATCCAATTCCGTCGAGAAGCGTGGCCAATCAAGAGGGTTGCTGAGCATCGCAATCAAATCCTTGCAATCCGTCCCAAAGCTCTGGCATGGCGAATGTTGAAGCATATTCTCCATTGTCCACCGTAGTGCTTCCAGCTCAGAGTGCAAAGCCGACTCCACCCTACTAAGATTACGCATCCCCATCAACTGATTCCCCTCGTTATCCTTCCAAACCCATCCACATCTAGAATACTGTTCTGTAGAGGTCCAAGAACCATCTACCATACAGATATCACCCAGGCTTATGACATGGCTTGCAACATCTATGTTTCCTTATGATGACATGTTCTGTTCATTGGCTTGGAACCAGGCAAGGCACTCACTTTCCGCATATCGGGCTAATTCTAGAGGATCTCTGTCAATTCCCCGAAACAACTTATCGTTTCGAGCCTTCCAAATGTACAATTATCCAAGGATAAGGGTCTCTGTCTAATTCCGGTTCCATTATAGCCTTCTTCCTCCAAAATAGATAATCTATGTTCGCTTATGTGCTCTGCACTGGGAATAGATTTGAGCTGGTAGGAATATTCGCTAATGCCCAAACCTGCAAAGCAGGCAGACATAGGAAGATTGCATGTGCAACTGTTTCATCCGACTCTCCACAACGTGGACAAATGTTGTCACATCTCATGTGTCTGTGGTTCAAAGCACTTGTAACAGCCACATGACCTGTTATGATCTGCCACATAAGATGACATATCTCATTTTAAAAGCTCAAAATCGTATTCTTAATAATTTTTTTTACCTTTAATATATATATATATATATATATATATATATATATATATATATATATATATATATATATATGTGTGTGTGTGTGTGTGTGTGTGTGTGTGTGAGAGAGAGCAGTGAGCTGAAGTATAAAATATCACAATTATAAAAAAGAATGTAACTAATCATACTATTCATGTCGTAAGTAAGGCTTCTCTTCATGCATGGCTTACCAGTTGAACAAGATCGCAATGCTTCTAATCAAAGTTGGACTAGCTCTATGAAAGACATAGGTCAACTAGGCATATCTCACCAGCAACTTGAAGTCTTTGAAGTCAATATTAGAATGCTTGTTTAGATGGAGGAAGTAGACTACATATACTATTTGCAATGGTGACACACTTGGTAATGAGTACTCCTACAAGAGGTACCCTTTAGAACTAAAATTAACAACTCATTTCTGATACCCAATCTACAAGTTTCGAACCGTCTAAAACTACGTACAATATGGGCTTCGTAATTACACAAGAGCCCAAATAGAGTAAATGTGCAGAATACATATAATGATATTACGACGTCGTCTAGTGACTCAAATGTAGATCATTTTAAAATCAAACCGGAAAACCAAATAAAAACGAAGTCACAGATCTTGCTGGTTTGAATCGGTTTGGTGAAAATCACCACAAGCCCTAACGAGTTTGTTCTTTGTTTTCTGCAAAATCAACAAAGACAAGGACGTGCTCAGCCATCCTTCTCCAGGTCTGGCTTTCTTCTTGATCTCTCTGTTTTTACCGTCATTGTCTCGTCAAGTAAGATCATTTGTTGTCTTATTAGAAACTTTAGATTTCAATGTCGGAATCAAATGTCCAGGGATTCGTGTTTGCGATCCCTTCTTCCTTTTTTCGATTTAGTGGTTTAGTTTGATTAGCTTAAAAAGGATTTAATTGACAATGTTCTAATGTGTTTTATCTTCTCCAGACATCTAAAAAAATGTCTTTCTGCACCAAACTTGGAGCTTTACAGAACAGAAATGTTCCAATGACATCAATGCTCCGCTTCATGTCCACAAAACTTTTCATTGGTGGTAAAGTCTAACGTTCATTTGAATCTTTGTTATTGTTTGTATTAGCTTTGATGTCTTGTGTAACAGTTTTAATGTTTTAATAACCGTTCTTAGGCCTATCACCCGGAACTGATGAACAGTCCTTGAAGGATGCTTTCTCTACCTTCAACGGAGTTACAGAGGGTAAGCATCTCTTTCTTTTCACTCTTCTATAGTAGAGTGTGTGTTTATTTTTGCTTAATGTTTTAAACCTCTCAAGTATGTGTGATTGGGTTTTAAGTCGTCAGTACTCTGAGGCTGTGAATGATCGATGTTTAAACCTCTCAACGGAGTTACTATGAATGATTGATGTTTGATGAACATTAGCAACTTGGTATCTGTGTTTTTGCTTTGTTGGACTGAACTATTTTGCTTAGTATATTTAATCATTTTTCAGTCTTGTGTATTTTTAACCAAAAGCCTTGTCGTGTGTCTTTGCTTTTGCAGCAAGAGTCATGACTAACAAAGTCACTGGGAGGTCTAGAGGTTATGGATTTGTTAACTTCGTTACTGAGGATTCTGCCAAATCTGCTATTCAAGCTATGGATGGACAGGTTAGAATACAAAACAATCACTAAATCTAACTATATATTTATCATATTGAACTGTTTCTTGGTTTGTGGTGTGATTAATTAGGAGTTGAATGGGTTTAACATTCGTGTTGATGTTGCAAAAGAATGGCCAAGCTTGCCGTTGTCTTTGGATCAGGAAGCTATAGAAGATGAGAAGAAAGGCAATAAGATGGTGAGCCGATCTGTATGGAAAGATCCGTTCGTTGATGCGTTCTTGATGAAGAAGAAAAACGCAGCTCTGAACAGGAAGATATGGTCAAGGAGGTCGACTATTCTGCCAGAGTATGTTGATTCCTCGGTGAGAATCTACAATGGCAAAACTCATGTGCGTTGTAAGATCACAGAGGGGAAAGTTGGGCATAAGTTTGGAGAGTTTGCCTTTACAAGAAAAGTTACCAAGCATCCTAGAGCAAAGTAAGTGTGTAGTTCTTGAGAATGAATTGGTCAGAGCTTGAGAGGAACCATAAACGAATCAATAAGAATACCGAGCAGGTAGGCTTTGAAGTCTATTTATCAGACTCTGAAGCTGTGCAAGTGTTTTTGATTCATGAAACCTGTGGGAACTCTTGTAACATCATTGATCCTCGAAAGTGTTTTTTTTTTTTGCTGTTGTTCATGATTCTTTTGGTGATACGAAGTATGAGACTTTTCATCCACTTTAAGGCAAAGATAGCCATTTACAACGTGGAAGATAAATTTAAAGTTCCATCGCTTTGCTAGTGCTAATTGACAAGAAGTAATCCATTTATCTACAGGAGAATATAGTTATTTAATAATGATTTTGGTTAAATAAATTAGAGTTTCAGTGGCACAATTTATAGTAACAATCAAGTTACATCAGAATTAGTTCAAATAATTTGGTGTTTTTGAAATATGTAATTACAGAACTTGTTTTTGTTAAAAGTACACACAGCTCTCCAACATGATTGAAGGCTGCTACAACTGATCGGGTCGCCATGTGAACATGCTCTATTGTCGTTAAGGTTTTGGTCGTACTCTGCTTTGTTTCTTTCTTTTTTTAGTTTTTACTCTCCTTTGGAGATTTTGGGTTTGTAATAGTTCTTATTTTTATGTGTAACTCCATTTTTTGGTTTATCTATAAATCTAACATCTGAAGAAACAAAACTTTTGTAGTGTCAGTTATTTTTGTATGTTAATCATGTGATCAATTTACTTCCCGTTAAATTAGAAATAAAAAAGAGTCACATGTAGCAAGTAAAGTTTCATACGAGTAAATGCTACTATTATGTAGACTTCCTCTATATTTGAGTGTGCATTGATTACTTGGTGTTGAAAGAGCCACATACATTGTTGTATAGTTTTCTTTTTTGGGGCACATGTTGTGTATTAATTATTCTTTACCATCTTATAAAATCCAGTTTCTTCAGAAATATCTTTTTCTTTGTTTCAAACTCTTAAAACATACTGGCACCAACCAGCAAAATTTTGACATTTCAACAAGAAAAGCGAAGAAGCTTAACTAGAAAAAATATATATTTAAACAAAGTATAGAAAGCAAATGTGGAGTATAATCATGTTTAAAAGAAACTTTTGTGAATGTGGTAGTTGAGATTTGATGATTATTCTCACGGAACCACAAAAATGCGAAAGTTATTTTGGAATGCCAGTTAGGGAGATTCATAATGCGTGGCCCTTGGTACTTCCACGACATTAGATATGAACCAGACAAAAACGTTGTAGTCAAGTTAAAGTGGCCCTTGGTAGTTTTATTGCTTGATTAAAATAGGAAATACAAGCAAAAAGTCGAATATTTAATGAGTTCACCTTATTGTTGAGGGTTTTAAAGTCAGATCCACCGACGCTCTTCCACGAACCGGTGCAGACACATATAAACGCTCAATAGATTTTGGCACCGACGCTTAAAATATCTTGGCTATGCAAAGAATCATTCACACACACGAAAGGGTAACTATAGCTAAAGGGGTAACAAATCTCACTAGAGATATAAATTTGAATAGGGGTAACAAATCTCACTAGAGATATAAATTTGAATTTTACGTTCTTCTTAGAAGTAACACATTTTTGTAATTTGTATGGAATAAGACATGATATTTATTTAATATTTTAAGAACTAACGCTAGGAATTTGTTTTCAATATAGCAAGGTTTTCTTTTTTTTTTTCTTCTGAAAGAGGCTTACTAAAGCAATGCTATCTTCTCACTTATTTCTTACCTTTATATAAGTCTCACACAATTAGATAGCCTTTTAATTGAAGATCAACTGAATCCAATTATTTATCCCAATACAGGAGACATAAGCAATATGATGGAATGTATTCAGTATCTTGATTTGTCCAATTTTTTTACTCTTACTACAGTGATGAATGTGGTGATGAGTCGAGCAGTACGACCTATGATAATAGAAAATATCTTTCGAGACCCGATTCCAATACTTCCATGCTGGCTGAATATTTTTTGCATCATTCATTGTTCTCAAGTTTTACCATATATACTATAGAAATTGTATCTGTAATATATATATATATATATATATATATATATATATATATATTCTGTGACATACAAAATAATAATTTTAAAAGTATCTTAGTTAGAGTTGAAAATTTAGATTATTTTTAGTTTTTTCTAATCTTTTGATTTTATGGATTGTAAAACTGAACTTAACAAAACATTTGTGATTTGCTTCTTTCAGTTTGATTTGATTTAAATTTAATCAAGTTAACTATTTCATTATGGTTAAGTGATGATAGGACCATATAACATATCTCTATGTCTCAGTTAACCCGATTCACAATTTAACATAACCATAAGAATTTAGAAGTGTCTTTATGTCCAGGTTCTTTGCAATACCAAAGAGATTATAAATCGTGGTCCTAACCTGGGTTTAGATTCTAGAAATAAACTGGGTTGAACTGGAACAAACCAGGTTGATTACATCAACTTAAACCAAAAACCAGTCTTATAGGGTAAAACATCGGCCTCTTGGCCGATAAATTGGTCCTTGACATAATCTTAAATGAGATGGAACTAAAAGAAACTAGAGAGCTAAATGACTGATGAATAAATGTTCAACAATATCAACTTGTTGTCAATATAGAATATATAATTAATTGAAAAATAATCCAATTCACAATTTTTTTTTCTTTCGAATATGTCTTTATATTTTACCAAAAAAATGTCTTTGTAAATTCGAGTTCATTTGTTATGCAAGCCTTTCATTTATAATATTTATTTCATTAGTAAGACATTTATCAAAATACCAAAATGTGATGGAGATCAAAAATAAATGAGTAATTTAAAGCTTAAACAGAACCACATAACTTTTTAAAAAATAAAATGATGATGAGATAAAAAAACATAATGATGTACTATTTTTAGTATGGAGATATCATGTTAAAGTATTCTATATTCTATTTTAAACATTATTGTTGTGAAAGAAAAAAAAAATTATTGCAGTTTTACTACTATTCGTACGGACCGGACCTATATAATACTTTTCCATTAACTAATTGAATAACTGTGTGTTTCATAAGTGAAATCGAAAACAGAATTACCACTCTTTACGGAAAATCTAAAGAAAAGATGAAAAGTCAAATTCATTTACCAGATCCCCACCAAACTCTCTCCACAACTAATCTAAAACCGTCCATCTAATCTCCCGCTTTCATCTATTTAACATCACTCCCTACCTTACCTTTCTCCTCGCACACTCTGTTCCCATCTTCCCACACACAGAAAACATTCAAAACAAAACAATGGCGTTGCTTGTAGAGAAGACATCAAGTGGCCGTGAGTACAAGGTCAAGGACATGTCCCAGGCCGACTTCGGCCGTCTCGAGATCGAGCTGGCCGAAGTCGAAATGCCTGGACTCGTCTCTTGCGTCACCGAGTTCGGACCATCTCAACCCCTCAAAGGAGCAAGAATCACCGGTTCTCTCCACATGACCATCCAAACCGCTGTTCTCATCGAGACCTTAACCGCTCTCGGCGCTGAAGTCAGATGGTGCTCATGCAACATCTTCTCCACCCAGGACCACGCAGCAGCCGCCATTGCTCGTGACTCCGCCGCCGTGTTTGCATGGAAAGGGGAGACTCTCCAGGAGTATTGGTGGTGCACGGAGAGGGCTCTCGACTGGGGTCCTGGAGGTGGTCCTGATCTGATTGTCGACGATGGTGGTGACGCTACGCTTTTGATCCATGAAGGTGTTAAGGCTGAGGAGATCTTTGCTAAGACTGGTCAGCTTCCTGACCCGACTTCCACCGACAATCCTGAGTTTCAGATCGTGTTGTCGATTATTAAAGATGGTCTTCAAGTTGATCCTAAGAAGTACCATAAGATGAAAGAGAGATTGGTTGGTGTCTCTGAGGAGACCACCACTGGTGTTAAGAGGCTTTATCAGATGCAAGAGACTGGTGCTCTCTTGTTCCCTGCCATTAACGTTAATGACTCTGTCACCAAGAGCAAGGTATCGGTTTCTTTCTCTCGTGATCTAAATTTAGAGCTTTTTCATGTCCCATTATAGCTCTAGAAGACAAAATCTGACGTTTGTAACATAATGTGTGAAAATGCCATGTTTACATTACCAAATTGCAGTTAGTTTTGTCAGTTTTGTGTCCATGGCCGGTCTTGAGCATAAGCTAGGGCAATGGCCTCCAAATTTTAGGAAAAAATACATATAAATAAATCCCCAAATTTCTAAAAAAAAAATGTATTAAATTTACTATAGCCCCTGAAATCTTAGGAAAAAATTATATCTAAATCTTCAAATTTGTAGAAAAAAAAACTTTTATTTAATTGTCTATAACCCCTAAAATCTTAGGAAAAAATTATATCTAAATCTCCAAATTTGTAGAAAAAGAAACTTTTATTGAATTGTCTATACCCCCTGAAATATTAGGGAAAAAAATTACATATACATAAATCCCCAATTTTTGTTTTCTAACATTTTAAGAAACAATTACATATATATATAAATCCCCAAATTTGTATAAATTTTTTTATTAAATTGTCTATAGCCCCTAAAATCTTAGGATCAGCTATGTTTGTGTTTCATATGCTTTGATCAACTTGGGTTCCAGCAGTATGATTGACTTTGACTTGCTTGCAGTTTGACAACTTGTATGGATGTCGCCACTCACTCCCTGACGGTCTCATGAGAGCCACTGACGTCATGATCGCCGGAAAGGTAGCTGTTATCTGCGGTTATGGAGATGTCGGAAAGGGTTGTGCTGCAGCCATGAAAACAGCTGGTGCACGTGTGATCGTGACTGAGATCGATCCAATCTGTGCCCTTCAGGCTCTCATGGAAGGCCTTCAAGTTCTAACCCTTGAAGACGTCGTCTCTGAAGCTGACATCTTCTGCACCACCACTGGAAACAAAGACATCATCATGGTCGACCACATGAGGAAGATGAAGAACAACGCCATTGTCTGTAACATTGGTCACTTTGACAACGAGATCGACATGCAAGGACTTGAGACTTTCCCTGGTGTGAAACGCATCACCATCAAGCCACAGACTGATAGGTGGGTGTTCCCTGACACCAAGTCAGGAATCATTGTGTTAGCTGAGGGTCGTTTGATGAACTTGGGATGTGCCACTGGACACCCTAGTTTCGTGATGTCATGCTCGTTCACCAACCAGGTGATTGCACAGCTTGAGCTTTGGAACGAGAAGTCAAGTGGGAAGTATGAGAAGAAGGTATATGTTTTGCCTAAACACTTGGATGAGAAGGTTGCTGCACTTCATTTGGGCAAGCTAGGTGCTAGACTCACCAAGCTCACCAAGGACCAATCTGACTACGTTAGCATACCCGTTGAAGGTCCCTACAAGCCTGTTAGCTACAGGTACTGAGAAGAAGAAAAAAAAAGGATCAAGCTACGGTTCTTTGTATGGTTTTATGATTAGACCATTTGGTTATAATCCAAATGGCAATTATTTGAGTTGGTTTGGGTCTGGTCTGGTTGGGGAAATTTGAGATATTGGTCTTCTTATGAGGTTGGCCAAATATTGGTAATCAATAAGGGGTTGTTGTTCTTTGGTTTTGTAAGGCTGTTTTATGTTTTGTTTTTCCTTTTCAATTATATATATATCAAGATAAATTAAATTTTGTTTCAAGTCTTGTTAAACATTTTAAACTATTTACTTTTTTTAAATAAAAAATTATCAAAAGCTCATAAAACTATCTAAAATTTTAAACATTATCCAAAAAAATCATCCATAATTATAAACTCATTACTCAGCAGGAATTATTTTAGTTCAGTGGAGAACCGAATAGTCAGGTTCTTAAACTTGCAAGAACGACCAAACCAAAGCTTTCTAATTCTAACTTCATGAGAGAAAAAACAAGTTATTTTGCAGCATATGTTTCTAGCATTGGTCCATAAAGGTCAAAAAGGTCGCAATATCCAATCTAGAAATTTAAATTTTCCCATAAGAACCATTTCACTTATTCCTGCCATATATTTCTAGCATTGGTCCATAAGAACCCCAAAAAAAAGCTTTAAGAACTTCAACTTTATCGATCTTCCGTCTATCAATCCACTCAACAATTCTAGTCAGTTGTTTCACCATTTATTACATAAAACTATATAAGAGTTTTCTACTGCAAACAACAACATTACAAAAGAGATACGATTAAACCTGCCTTGCTCACCTTTAGAGAGAGCATTTCAAACTCATAATCAAGTACCGCATTTTAAAAGATAGGCGGAAAAAAATGTTTTCAGGTCTTGATGTCGTTAGTGTCTCTAGCACACCTTGTAATGACGTTGCATCCTCGGCTGTAAGAATTAGCTTGTCCTGAGCGACAAGCGTAGTAGGAAGCACCAGGTTTCTGACAAGGAACCATGTCTCTCCTCAGCGTTCCATAGCTTATGTACTGTTTCTTCATCATCATTACTCTCCTGCTTATCTCCGATGGCATCATCTCCTCTCCTTCTTCCCCGATTACCCCATTCCGGTCAAGCATTGCGTTGACTTCTCCAGTCACCGACGAAACTGTAACCTCGAGGGAGATCGAGAGATGGGTATGAAGGAAAAGTGTGGATAAGTAAACGAGAGCTAAGGATCTCGACATGTCGGTGTGGGAATACTTCTGTAGATGTGGTGATCTTCTGCGTTACAGCTCCGAGTAGCTAGCTCTTGTAGTTAATCCGGTCGGTTAAGAGATAGCTTTTGTTTTCTTTTGGGTCAAAAGTTAAGAGATAGGTAGAATCTAAATTTGAACTGTAACTTCAAGTATATATATATATATATATATATATTATTTCAGTGGAATTCTCTCCAATTTCTTAGTTATTGTGGTCCACTAACAAACACTACAGTGAATTCATGATTATTCCAACCATAAAATAAATTTTCTTTATAACTTTATTTTGTAGATCTTTACAGAAATGGAACATTTTCAAAATCAACATGTTTATGTAATGAGATTATTAAAATAACCCAAAAGTTCATTTCGTTTCTAGAGAAATTAATATGAAAATATATAGTACTAATTATCTTGAGGGTTAGTAATAGTAACTCATTATGATTAATGTGTGGGGCTTTGAGTAAATAGATAATTAAGGCGCTGGTGTTATTGCCACCAAACAAGTTCAACAACCCAACTGTCTTGATGAGCTGTTTTCATTGACCCACATGTGCTCAGCTCCATGTTTCGCTTCACACCAAAGCATCACTTGATTTCACTTCATTGCTTAAAACAAAAGATAAAAAAAATCATAATACTGTAGTATCACTATCATCAACTTCAGAAGTTACCACTTTCAGCAGGGCTTTTTCATTGGTATATGTATTTTTTTTGTGTGAATGAATTGGTAATTAATAGGTAAATAAAGTAAATCGCAGAATCACTTGCTCGAATAAGCAGGAATGAGAGACATAAATGTTTTTTTTCTTTTTTTTTTGAAAAGGCTTTAAAGAGACATTAATTTTTTCCCCTTGCTAACAGAAACAAAACTATGACACTATAGTAAATTTCTTTTGTCAATAAATGTTGTTTTCCCCTTGCTAACAAAAACAAAACTATAGCCCCCGCGCAAGCGCGGGGCCGGGCACGTTGACGATGCATTTGAGATTATGAAACATTGGAAATCACATAGTATAATTAGTTTGATATAACAACGATCGAAAAATTCAACCGGAAAAATCAGATGCATGTTTTATTTTTTTGTGTATATATTTAGTTTTAATTGTAATGTATATGAGTTTGAATGTAGAACGGGATGGTTAGTGGTAGATTTTGTTTAGTAATTAAATATGTTTTTTATTATTTTAATTGAATTTTAAAATTTTAGTACAAATTGTAAATGTTTAGTTATGTAATCAATTTTGGCTGGTGGCAACTGGCATTATTAAATATTATTTATTTTTATATTTAAAAAGTTAAATTTTTATTCATTTGGTTAGAAGTCACACATCTTGATTAGTGGGAAAAATTGTTTAATGTTTTGGGTATTTTTATGTGTTAATATTTTTATGAAGCATATTTGTATCCTCTGCCTATAGTATCGAAGTTATTATGGACGGGATTTTTTTTTATTTTTAAATGTCGTAACGTATATTAACAATTATTTTTTTTATTTTAGAAATGTAATTTAGTTTGTTTGTGAAAGTGTAGATTAGCATTTTTTTATTAAAAAAATGTAATTATTATGAAAATTTTATATAATTATGTATGACTAAACAATTTTTGTAGGAGCATAGTATATTTGTCATATTCTAGTAATAACGCTTTAATTTAAAATACTGAATTAGTGAAATGACTATATACAGTACTTAACTCAATGCTAAAGGAAAATAAAAAAAGCCATAAAATTTAGTCTAAGTAATTAGGCTTATAATGGAGTGGGCCTTGAGTATTTTTATAAGCTGAGTTTGAGTAAAGAATTATGAAAAATATTAAGTGGTTAAAAAAATAGAAAATTCTGAAAAGCTCTCGTTCTTTCCGCCGTACAAAGAGGTTCATAGCTTCTTCAAATTTCCTGCGATTCGTGGATTGTTTAGCGTGTTAGTGAGTGATTTAGAGGATGATAGGTCGTGTTAAAGAGTCATTGAAGAGAGAGATGCTTACCTCAACAGTGATATTGGGACTCCGTTTGGTGTACGTTTCATGCCAAACAAAGATGCTGGTTCATAAGTTTATTATGTTTTATGAGGTTACAGAGGTTTAAAACATAGTGAGTGGAATGCGTTGAACTTGGACGCGAAGAATAAGGTAAACCAGTAACACGTAATATAGAATGATAACTTTATTTCATTTGACTGAAAATAACACAAAGCATGAAAGTAACATACGAAAATGAGTTCATGAAAACTAGGAAATGAAGTGACATGTGCTTTTGATCCTTTTAACTAAGATAGTGGGGGAAAAAACTGGAAAACATGATGAGTGAACATGAACTCTTGAACCGTTGTTAACGTAACCCATTTAAAACCTTAAAGGAATTAAACTGTTGGCTTGTGACTCATCATCAAAGTGACAAACTCATTGAGGAACCGACAATGGAAGCAATTGATGCAAGCCGTAATAGGCGCAGATTGGTGGCAATTGATTTCTGGTATCATCTTTGCTTGTGATTGATGGCACACCTTCTTCATGTGAAGCTCTGTTCCCTTCAAAGATGTCCGAATCAGATAGTCTCAAGAGTGGCTACACCATGTTCATTTTTGAGCTTTGTCAAATATTTATTTCCTTTTTCAGTTGTACCCAAGCTCATCAATAGAACACCATAAATGAATCTGGCTTCCTTGTGTCCACGCTTTGCAGCTACACGAAGATGGTGCAAACCAATGTAAATCTTATTTTTTGCAAAATTTTCAAGTATACCTTGCACGTAATGAGCATTCACGTTGTCTCTCTTCAAGCAACTCTCCATGAGACCCTTGTAGTACTTATCTCGAAGTGGCTTCTGGATCAATGGCTGGAGATTAAGATCCTTGGCTACAAAGTAGTTCTCAAAATCTATGTTGAGCTCCTTGCAACTGAGGCTGGCGTTGACGTAATCCACCGGTGAGGCTACACCAACTTTTGCTACAATGAGGGAAAGCAGGTCGCTTGGCATATTGTCTATTTTTAGGACATGGGGATTAGGATCCATGATCAGGGATTGCAGGGATATTTTTGGAACCAAGCCATTGCTTGATCTAGACAGAGAAGCAGTTCCAAACATAATTACTAATGTGGAACCATTAGGAAAATTATATCAAATGTGGTGATTTTTAGTGTTATAGTGAAGAGCGAATGAGTACTGCAGGTCACAGCAGGGAAAATTTACAATGGTCATCCTTCTAGTTTTCAAGCAGATATCTAACCTGAACAATAGCAGTTTCAAAGATAAACAATAATATTGATCTTCCAAGTGTCAAACCACACAAAGAAAGCACAGTACCACTTGTACATTAAAAAACACAGAAGCACCAGCCAGCGAGGAACTAATAAGCGACAAATTTATGTTTTCTAGCCATGATACATAGTAGGTTGTGTCTAAAAGTAACTGTAAACTACACAGTAAAAATCCTCCTAACAATTAACTAATAAGTAATAAGGCAGTAGCTTCAAATCAAGTGCTATTTAACAGGTAACCTATAGTAAGCATTACAAAACATCTTGAGATCATAACCCATAATTCAGAGAAAGTGAAAGGTTGCTTACGGTTCAAACAAGAAGCGACCCACAACTCTGGTGGTGACAGAATCGTTGCTCAGATTAGACCCCTGGAAAGATCGGATTTCACCAACAACATCTGATCACAAACAAACAAAAGTGTCAAAAATAGAACTTTGATACAAAGAATCAAAAGACTCATGACAAGACAGTGTTGAGTGCAAATCTATATATACAAAAGACTGAAGACAGACCTGGGAGCTCTAGGTTGGTGTTCGCTAGCACCTGGAGCTGGTCATAACGCCTCACCATGAACCTATCAGACTTGATTATAGGGGCATTTGTGTGGACTTCACCAAAGTGTGTAGACGGAAGGAAACGGATCAAGAACTGATGCTCTGCCACCTTGTACATGTGGGCAACCCGTGCAACTTCAAAACGCTCCAACCTCACAATACAACCAGCTTTCAACGATGGTCGGTAATGACTCGCCCGATTCGCAAGGATGAAAGCATGAATAACAGAATCATGTAACAAAAAAACAAACTTTAATACTTCACTGATAAATGTGTAAAACCAAATCTATGTTATACAGAACAAGTACCAGTTCGTCGAGGAGTAACAGCGTAATCCCCATAAACTTGCCGTTCTTATTAACGTTGAGTGAATCTCAGAACCGAATTAGGCGAGCAACAACAGACTGAACCGTCCTTCCGAGTCGAAGAGAGGCGAAGGTGTAGTACTCGACGGTGGCGTTGGCGATCTGAGAATCTGAAGAAGACATTTCTGCGGTGTTTATCGGAATATAAGGTGGAGAAAAAGGAAATCAGAGACGCGATTTACAAACATATATATAGGTGGATCCAAAGGCGTAATTGATGGGGAAACAATTACAAAAGTAAAGATGAGGAGAGGAGTCGAAGAGTGCGAATTTGTGGAAGACGTTCGCTGGAAAGGGAAGGGACATGAGAAGGATCTTGATGATCTGTAAACGGGCCAACTTACCCAATTTAAATGGGCCAAAAATTAGTACCCGATTTCTAAACTTAACGGGAGAACCTAAAAAGAAGATGGTAGGGGTAATCGAACCTTAGACGCGTAGAGCAAAGATTTAATGTTGCGGATTATACCGCTCCACCAAATGTTCATCAATTGTTAATAGCCAACACTACAAAGTTTTGTAGTTAAAAAATTGTGCGTGGACTATTAAAAAATTGTTGACGTGGCGCGCTGGGAGTGAGTAAACTCCCCCATTATAATATATATTCTTTTTTTTTTACCAAAAAAATTGACTACAGTGTCATAGTTTTGAACTTTCTGTATGCTGCATACTGGTAATTAATATTATATGAAGGTTCATTATTTTATTATGAGCATATTGTTTAATTACATTTCGGTTTGTTTTTGTAGTACACTTGTTTATATATAATTACAATGTCGTGTAGAACAAGTTACGGACAGGTTGTAGATTCGGTTTGTTGTGGGAGTCGATTTCACCCTACTGTCAAATAAATCGTAAAAAAGGAAACTTCGGGAAAACCCTAAGTTTCCAGAGGAACCGGCTATCTGCGAGAACCGCACAACGAAAATAAGAAAACGATAACTTAGAATTAAAACGAGAATAAACGAAAAACAAAGAGAGCAAAGAGTTTCTTATTCCGAATCTGCGTAGAACTG